AAGAAAAAGAAAAAGAAAAAGAAAAAGAAAAAGAAAAAGAAAAAGAAAAAGAAAAAGAAAAAGAAAAAGAAAAAGAAAAAGAAAAAGAAAAGGGCTTCCTGAGATCTGGATGAGATTTTATCAGGTTATAAGTTTGATATTCACTTTGGAGGAATTTCGGTATTTTATATATTTTCCTCTCTCAAACTACTATAACATGATAGTAATTTGACTAATAAAACCTATTTTCATAGCTCAAATATTTTTTAAAAGATATTATTAATAAACAAATGTGGTACATACATACAATGGAATATTATTCAGCCTTGAAAAGGAAGGAAATCTGACAGATACTACAACACGAATAAATCTTAAGGACTTTATGCTGAAAGAAGGAAGTCAATCACAAAAGGCCAAATCTAAATGATTCCACTTATATGAGGTGCCTATAGTAGTCAAATTCAGAGAGACAGAAAGTAGAGTGGTGGTTACCAAGCATTAGGGGAGGAGGACATGGAGAGCTAGTATTTAATGGGTAGAGTTTCAGTTTAGGAAGATGAAAAAGTTTTGGAGACGGATGGTGGTGATGGCTGCACAATGTAAATGTACTTGGACTGGACGCCACTGAACTGTACACTTAAAAGGACTGAAATGGTAAATTTTATGTTATGTATATTTTACCACAATTTTAAAAATTATGTTATTAATTTTAAAAGTCCAATTTGTCCTGAAGACAAAAGCCAGGTATAGGAGAGGCACAAATGTTACTATGTCTTACGGTTAGAAGAGAGAATCAGAACTACCCTCCCTATTACCCAAGTATCTTTTCCCTTTTTTGTTTTTTTCCAGCAGCTTAACTTTATTTGACCCAAAAAATCTAAAATAGAACTGAAAATAAAATAGTTAAGCATATTTTTAAAAGCTGCTGTAGTCTTGCTGTTTTCCTTGTCTTGTACAAAACTTAGTAAGGCATTTTTAAAGATTGAGAGGTGACTCAGTTGGAGGTGAGGAGTGGCAAGTATTTTGATTACTGTGCTGTTTATTAGAAAGTCTTACCTTTAGCCACTGCTTGAAGTCTGGAAGAACTGATTCAAATATATTTCCTTTACTAGAGGATAAATCTTCTCCACTGGAAGAAGGAAAAACACAAAGAGCAGGGTCTCAGAACAGGGTATAAAGAAAGAAAATCATGAATCCATACACTATATGACAATTAATACTGTTTCTCCTTAATGATTTTCAAGCATACCTTCCAGGTTCAGCCTCCCTTCCCTAGGCATTCATTATTAAATTTACAAATAAAAATATAAATTCAGACTCTACTCATGCCTGAGTAACCAAGTTATAGGGTCAGAGGCTCAGAGGCCATAGTAATATTAAAAGGGTGGTCTCTGGGTCTCTGGTATCCAAAATTAGATCACCATAAGAATAATTCCTGTTGAATACAGCTGCCAAAACAATATATAAATAGAAAGAAAGCATAATGAGTAATTAAGGTCAGGAGCCCCAACTTCTGGTCTGAGAGTTTCCTGTAATATCTCCCAAGGTTCACAAGAAGAAAGCTACTCATATGTGAAATACAATGAACAAAATAAACTGATGAACAAAATAGATCCGGAGACATAGAAGCATGGAGCAGGCTGAGGGATCTCAGAGGGAAGGCATGGGTGGGGGAGTGGGTGGGGAGAGACTAACCAAAGAAATTACGTGCTTATACGCAAAACTCATGGACACAGACATTGGTAAGGGGAAGGCCTGGGGGTGGAGTGGATGTGGGGTACAAGGGATTAATGAGAGAAAAAGGGGACAGCTGTAATACTTTCAACAATAAAGATAATTTTTTTAAAAAAAGTCCCTAAAGAGAAAGGGAGAAGAGAACCATTGCCATTTGTGCTCCCCTCCCAACTAAGAGTCAGCAAATGGGAGCGGCAGCAGCAATCAGCCGGGATATGTATCAGCTTCAACTTCCAGAACTTCCAAATCTACTAACTGGGAAACCTCTTAGAGGATATAAAAAATTGAAACCACTGTTCTCAATTTGAAATGGAAACAGTACCTAAATGTGTTGAGTCTTGTCTGCATTCAAAGTATAGATTCCCACTAGCTTCGGCTGTGATTTAGTCACCCAGCCTAGACTTAACCACTTGATGGGCTGCTCTTCCATTGTCAGATTTCTCTAATTGTTACACAGTATGAGAGCCAATCAAAACCAGTCTCCTTAGAACTGCTGCCCATTGATTCCACTTCTCTGCACATGCTTTACGCTCAGAAGTTGCAGGTAGGTCCAGATAGTATTCGAGTTTGCCAATAGTGAAGAGGACAGAAAAAGAAGAAAAAAAGAAAGGGGAGGGGAGGGGAGGGGAGAAAAAGAGAAGAAAAGAAAAGGGAATTGGACTTGAAGCACAAGTAGCAGCAGATGGACAGAGGGATTAGGATGGACTACCGAGATGATTAGGACTAGAAACCGTAAGACCATTCAAGCACCCAGAAGGATTGTGCCCCTTCAAGGGTGCTGGTTACTTCACCAAAATCAATGTTAGAGTAATTACAAGGTGAAAGAAAGAGAAAAAAGAGAGAGGAAGAACTGAATTGAGTTATCAGACATGACATAGTATAATCAGAAAAGCAAGATTCTTGGCGGCTCACTTATTATCTTTGAAGAACTGCTGCCATTTGGTAAGACCATCCTTAACAATGTACAGTTTCTCCCTTGTAGATTCTTCATTTTCTTCCACTTCCTGTTTAAATTTATTCATTGAGACTGTCCATTTCTGTGTCAACTTCTGCAACAATGCAAGGTCCGAAGTGTCCTAGATAAAATGCATGGAATTAAGCCACTTTTTCATTTATTCATGTAAAAAATAGTTATTAGCATACACCAGGCCATTATTAATATTGTAATACTACAGACATCCATAGAAAATGGACTAAAAATTAAGAAGATAATCCTCTTTCAAAACATCATCAGGGATCTACACAATCCCTTTGGTGGTAGATTTTCCATGGCACAAAGTATGTGACAAGATTTTTTTCCTTTGCAACAAGAGCCCAATTTCCCCATAAAACTTTCATGGGAGAATGCGCAGTACACTGGAAAGAACAGATATTTCAAAGCCAGACAAAACCAAATGCAAATCCTAGACATTTAACTGGCTGTGTAACCTTGGGGAATGTTAGTTAATCTATTTGAGATTAATTTTTCCTATTATATGTATGATAGGATTGTTGTAAGAATTAAATGAAATGACTAGGATAAATGGTTTGACTAGAAACACTAAATGCCGCTTTCCTCCTTTGCAACTTAGCGTGCTCACTGAGTTTTCCCATTAGCTTGCATAGAATGCATCAATAATACAACCATTTCAATAAACACGGCTACTTACAAATCTTTTAGTTTAAACACTAATAAATAGAATAACTCTATAAATAACATTTGCAGTGTTATTTACTTAGATAAATTGCTTAACTTGCTTTAATTAGGATAGAAGACAAATTATAAAGAGCCTTTACTCGTCTTTCCTTAGATTTTTCATTCCACCCACAATAAAGCACAAATATAAAACTATATTTAAAATTTAATCTATAAATTTAGCAAAGGCTTCTTATAGTCTCAGCCCTCAACAGTTGTAGTCTCTTTTTCCATAAGTTAAGTGAACTGAAGTTTACCTTGGTTGATAGTAGTATGATGAAATGCTTAGCATATTTACTCCAGCCTTTTTCATTGAGGTAAAGTCTTTTAGCCAATATGACTCTATTTTTTGCAATTACCTATTTTAAAAAAGGACTAGAATTAAGAACCTAAATCATTAGCAAACCACTTTATTAAACTCAAACTAATTTCACATTAAATTTTCATTAAATCGTTAACTCAATCCCAATTTCCTATATAAATCATGAACTACTTTGAATCACAAATTTATATTTTCTAAAACTACTAAAATGTAACCAAATTGGAGTATAGTATGTAGCAGAGGTTCTCACAAAATTTGATCTCAAAAAACATTTACACTCTTAATAATTATTGAGAACTCCAAAGAGCTTTTGTGTACAAGATTTTATCTATTGTATTGCAAATTAAAACTGAAATTACTTAAAATCTAAATTTGTTAATTCACTTAAACATAACATTAATAAACATGTTAACATAAATATTATGTTCATGAAAAAAGTTTTATTTTCCAAAACAAAAAAAAAATTAGTGAAAAGAGCACCACAGTTTTACATTTTTACAAATCTGTTTAATAGAACAGAGCTGAATTCTCATACTTGCTTCTGCATTCAGTCTGTTGCAATATCCCATATCATATAGCTTCAAAAACATCCACTGTACACTCATGTGAGAATGAGAGTGAAAAAGGCAAAAAACATTTTAGTACTATGATGAAACTTGTTTTGACTTCATGAAAAGGTCTCATAGACCCCCCAGGAGGTCCTTGGACCATACTTTGAGAACCACTGATAGACTGAATCAATTATATAGTCATTCAACGAACAACTGTCTAGACACTGTGCATATAGCTGTAAACAAAAGAAAGAAAGTCCTTATTTTCAGGGAGTTGACATGCTGCCTTTCATTTCCTACTGGAACAGACTTTAGGGGTGATCTAACACAAAGTCCCATCAATTCAAGGTGTTCTTTTACAAAACCCTCTGCCAGGGGTTAGTTCTCTACTGTTCACCCCTAGAGCAAGGGAACTCACTTGTCTTCTTTATTTCTCCTACTGAACATGCCTAGCTCCCAAGTTGTTTCTTATATTATATATTTACCATCATGACTGTTCCCTCTGGACATGACTATGTTCCTTTTAAAATTCTAGATCAGGATGGAACATTGTGTCCTGGATGAGGTCTGACCATTCCAGAGGAAAATGGGACAAAAATCTGAATCTGTCCCGGGTCATAATTTGCTATTGATACTCTAAGCGCCGGGTGTGAGAATAGGCAACTAAACAGCAAACACTTTAGACAGATATAATATTGTGGGACTTTGCTATTTCTCTAAAGCATTACTAAAATGGCTTGCAGGTTGCCATATTTCAATTCACTTGTAATCTTGGCTACTAAAGTAATAGAACCAAAGTGAGGTATCTAGTGATCCTAGTACAGTTAAAGTATGTGAAAAAATAAGAACCACTTTTCCTACTTTATTACTAGTATAAATTAAAGCTGACATTTTTAACATGTTCACAAACAACAGAAAAAGATCCTTGCTCATACTTCATAGAACCTGGTGGGGTGTAAAAAAAAGAACCCTTAAGTGGGCAATAGCCTGGCACCCGACAGAAAAGAAACAAAAGGTAACTCTCCCTTCCCAAGGTCCATAATATCTACATCGCTCATCAATTAAATATGTGTCTTTATTTTTTATTTGACTCTTCTTATTTTATTTTTATTATTGAGAGTATTACAGATGTCGCCCATTTTTCTCCCTTTGCCCCCCTCCACTCAGCTCCGGACCCATCATTTTTAAACTTTTTGTCTAACTGAAATTTGTAAAATTAAACTTTATCCAGACAAAAAGAAGTCTGAATTGTGATTCCAGATGAACCAACCTTTAGGGCCAAGTCATATGTGGCTGAGCTCCAGATATCCCTTTCTGCCATTAACTGTTTAATATCATTCTCCATCCTTCCTCTTTGTAACACATATAAGTCATGGTATTCTTCTACAACTCTAACAGAAAAATTAAGAAACAGCTATATAGGACATTTTTTTAAAAGAAGAAACTTTGTTTTAAAAAGAACAAGCTGTTCCTTTAAAACTCATCATAAGGTAATTATGGTATAATTTCTGGACATATTAATAACACTAATATACAGTCAAAATAGAAGAAAAATATTTATATTTCATTTATAAATCTTACAAAAGTCTTAAAGTAAGAAGTTCAATATACTGTTACCTGTTCTAAACACTTTTTTTTAAACAACAATTCCTTTATTATATCAAGTGATGATTTTCCATTGTGACTTTGTACAGTTTTTATTGTTAAAATTTTTAATTTCAAGATGTAATGATTAAATGTGTTATTTGCGATGGTAGCAAATGTGAACAATAGCTCTGGTATTTTAAAAACTGCAAATCCCTCTTAAAACCTACTAGACTTTGAGCAGCAGCCAGTATCATCCTATGTAATGTTTTTATCATATTGTCCTACTAGAATTTTCACAACATGGTATTCCAAAAGTATAACAATACTATAGCTAATAAAAAATTCAGACTACAAGAAGCAATAACACAGTAGTTATTGCTAAGTTTTTATTGCTCACCAGAACACGGTTCTTTACTAAAGGCACAAAGCCCAATCATTGTGAGGCATTACATTTTAAAATAATATATAATTAATATAAGATTTAAAGAAATTCCCTTGGTGTGAAAAGAAATTCTCTACCAACCAACCAAAAACTAAATATAATTAAGTACCTTTCTCTGAACTATTTTTTCATTATGTTTACCAGAACATACCTTTTCCTTCCAACCTATACTGAAGCTTCTCTTAGAATTAAAGCCCTTCTGAGGTGAAATGCAAACACAGAAGTAGTAAAATGAATAAAAGCATATGACAAACTTTTTAAACACATCCTCCTAAGGAATATTAACTTTGCTACAAGAATTAAAAGCCAGCAAAGCAGAATTCTTTCAATTTTGCTGAAAGTCAGGAACCACTAGCATCAGTTCCTGAAGCCTCCTATTTGGAGATTCCATTTATTCAATTAACTGAGAAAAAAATTAATCATCCTAGGTGTCACACAGGTGATACAAATATAAAAATTTACAAGCTGTACCCTTAAGATTTTGGCACTTTACTGTCTGAAAGTTAGACCTCAATTTAAAAAAGAGAATTAATGACCCTTGTTTAAAACAGCAAAATAAAAAATTCAGAGAACAACCTCAAAGTCCAGCAATGAGGGATTAGCCAAATAAAATATGCTGTAGCTCTATGATAAACATATTCTGCAGCTTATTCTTAATACTTTGGTATGTGGAAAATTTTTTTCGTGTTATAAAATGGGAAAACCCAAACGATAAAATTATACATTTTGATCTCATTTTTATAAAAAGTACATAGGAAAATATATCAAAATATTAATAGTAATTAACAGTGAAAGAATTATAAATGCTCTTTTTTTCCTTATTTATGTGTTTCTGTATTTTCCAAATTTTCAATAATCAATTATCAGCAAAAAGTATTATTAAAAGTTTCTAATAGCAAAAAAATCCACCCTACTTCAGAACCATCATTTTTTATACAAATTAAGATCTCCTTATCACTTTCCTTCCCCTTCTTTCTAGTTTTAGAAGATGTTTTGTTCTCATAATGGACATTAGCAAAAAAGAAGTTCTAGTTTATTTATTTTTATTCATTCAGCAAATATCTAATATATGCCAGGTAGTGTTCAAAACTAAACAAACAAAAAAAAACCCTTTACCCTTATAAAGTTTATTTGGGAGAGATAATAAACCAATAAAAAAGTAAAACAGCCCTGGCCAGTGTGGTTCGGTGGTTAGAGCACAGGCCCAAACACCAAAGGGTTTGATTCCCAGTCAAGGGCACGTCAGTTTGGGAATGTTAGGCATCTAAGTAGAAATGTTAAGGCTGTTAAATATGTAAGTCTGGAATTCAGGGAGAAGTTTGAAGCTGCAGACACAAATTTGTGGAGAAGCTAAAAGCTGGAGATACAAATCTGTGAGTTGAGAGTATACGGATGATGGCACTGACAGCCAGGAAATGAAATGGATTCACTTAAGAAGTGAGTATAGAAAGGAAAGATCCAAGCAATAAGCACTCCAACATTTAAAAACTGGGGAGATCAAAAGGAACCTGTGAGGGATATTAGTAAGAAGGAGCTGGCAGTAAGGCAGAAGGAGAGTGCAGTGGCACCTCGGCTTTCCAGAAGACCGTTTGAGTTCTGAAATGTTCGACAACCGAGGTGCCATTGTATAATATACTGAAAGACACTGTTTCCAGTAAGAGCAGCTGATCAATTATGACCAATGCTGCTGGAAAGTCAAGTTAAAGGAGAGTTGACCTTTGGATTTAATGATATGAAAGTACTCCAAGTGTATTTTGGAGGAACGGTGGGGGTAAAAGCTTGATTGGAGTTGGTTCAAGTGAAAATGGGAGGACCGGAAATGGAGATAATGAATATGAACACTTTTTGAAACTTACTGTAAGGGAAGCAGAGAAATGGGACCATAGTAGAAGGGATATGTGGTTCTAAGTGTCTTGGGAGTCTTTTTGCTTGTTTGTTTGTTTTGTTTTTAAGATTGGAGTAATAATAGCATATAAATATAGCATCTTATGAAGTTAATCAGGCAGAGGGGGAAATTAATGATACAAGATAAACAGGGAATACTGGCTGAAAGTATCTCAAGTAGGTAAGAGGGGATATAATAGTACACAAATGGAGAGGCTGGCCTTAGAAAGGAGGAGACAGTTCATCCACAGTTAAGGGAAGGGAAGATAGAATACATGAGCACAGACACAGGTGGGTGGGTAGATGGAGGGGTGAGAGCTTGAGTTATCTTGTTTGCTTCTACTTTTTATTTTTTTATATTCTTTCAATTTTTTCAATTACAGTTTACATTCAATATTACCTTGTATTAGTTTCAGGTGTAAAGGTTAGAAAATCATGTTCCCCCTGATATTTCCAGTACCCAGCTGGTTGCTTCTGCTTTTTATAAAGCAAGGTCACCAGCTCAGAAAGATGGAGAGATAGTATTCAAGGTATGAATATAGAAGACAAAGTACAGAACAGTTATCTATTACAAGAACAGAGAATTAGCTATACAAAATAGTACATTTAGTGGGCAAAAAATGATCAAGGTACCCCTTCATTCTAGTAAAAAATAAATTAGAATAAAAGTGAGAATCTATTTTTGAATTCAGATTTTGTATACATCTGTGTTTTTCTTGACATTTAAAAATACACTCTTCAACAAGTTAAAAACAAGTCAGAGGTCTACGCTGGAGTAAAGAGGACATAAAACAAGATGCAATGTGTGGTCCTAGACTGAATATGGGTTTGGCAACTGATTGCAAAATACATTTTAGCAATAATTAGGGAAAGTTCACTATGACCTGGGCAATTTATGAAGTGAAAATTTATTGGAATAGGTAGAGACTGTTGATTAAAAAAATAGGCTATATAATAGTATATCCACAAGAATATACACTAAGATATTTACAGTAATAATCTATGGGTGGTAGGATTGTAACATTTATTCATTTTTGCTTGTTTGTATTTTCTAACATTCTTTTTTTTAACATGGGAAATCACATCTATTTATATCATCAAAATATACTTCATTTACATAAGCTCATTTAGTCTGTTTAGAAGAACAGAAATCCAAACATAAGGTCACTGAGGAATGGCTGCCTATAGAGGCTGAGATAACACTCACTGAAAGAGTATGAATAATATCTTGATTACAATAAAAGCTTGGTCTCATCCTTTTAGCTCAGAATAACGTTCTTATAAGGTGCATGTACTGCTTCTATGATAATATAATGATATTTTTAATCAACCAAATAAAAAAATTAAAAATGCAATCAGACACATCTTTTGCTATATACCCAAGAGCTTCTAGTAATCAGAATCTAACAGACATTGAAATAAAATAAAGGTTAGCAATCTACAGCATGTGGGTTAATCTGGCCCACCATTTGTTTCCTGTACAGTACATGAGCTAAGAATTTTACATTTTTGATTTTTCACACACTTATTTTACGTGTTATGGTTTTTCAATAGTTGAAAAAACAATAGAAAAATAATATTTCATTGACACATGAAAATGTTATAAATTCAAATAAAGTTTTACTGGAACACAGCCATGTGTTGGTATTGTCCTTGGCTGCTTTCACACTACAATGGCACATGTTACAAAGGCAGAGTTGACTGAGTAATTGCATCAGAAACCATATCTCACCATTTGACCCTTTACAGAAAAAATTTGCTAATCCCCAAAATAGAATAAAACATAAAGACCATAGTAGATACACTTAAATCTGCCCCCCAAAACTAGACCCATACTACTAATTATGAAAATGCAAACAAAATACTAATATCTTTTCATGCCTATCCAATTAATAAGATATGGGCAAAATGCAAACCTCATATACTGATGAGAGGATATATACCGGCACAACTACTTTGTGGAATATTTGGCAACATCTAGCAAGACAAGGCTACGTATACCATATAACATAGTAATTCCGCTTCTAGGTATACACCCCTGGAAAATTCTCACCCAAGAAGACCTTAGATGTCTATAAGATGTGTTTTACAACAATGCCTGGAAGAGTTAATATATGTAATGAAATTCACAGTTTAAAAAAAAACTTCAAATGTTTCTATAAAATTTTGAAATATAGTGTGAAGCAAGTGACATAATGACTAACATTTGGTAACTCACTTGGCATTCTTTTCAGCATCTATAAGAGCTTGTGCCAAATCCCTGTGAGTCTTCTCTGCTTCTTTTGTTAATTTCATATCATGTGCCCGAACCAAACACAGCTCCCTGAAATAAAGCAAAGAAATTTTATAATCATAGTTAAGGGTTTCCAAAAAGTTTCTATGCAGGAAAATCAGATTTTTACTCAGGAATCTTCTCAGTTATCATGTTTAAACCTCTTCCTAGTTTGTCCACCTCACAAACCAAATAAAAAAACCTAGTGTACATCTGGATGGAATCTTGCTCGGTTTGGCAATAGAATCAGTCTGGCTAGAAAAGGCAGGAAGAAATGTGGGGGATCCTCTAGAATGGAGTGAAGGAGGTGCTGACAGGCAAGACCTCCAGGCTGCTCTATCCTACCCTCTGACATGCCTATCCTACCCTCTTCATTCTTGCCATTAATTAGCTTGCTACAAGTTTAGGTGATCACTAACCTTGATTGCTATATAATGCTTATTCTCTTTGGCATTTGAACCTTAACATCCATAATCAAGGCACTGCTCTCTAAACCTGATTAAGATAAACATCTCTGTCTTAGAAGGAAGAACCAGATCTTTTCCCTATTGAATATACAGAGCCCTAGTTTCGTGTTAACCTGCGTAACCTATGTCTCTATATCTATAATCTACATCTATATCCAGTCCTTTCTACTCTCTTGCTAAACATGAAAAGAGAACAAAAGAGTCCTCTCCTTTAACCATTCTACTTTCCCTGAATATTCTTGACTCTCTTTAGAGACATGGCTTTGACTTTTGTTTTGTGTTTAAGATAATCGCAGTTTTTACCTGGTCAGTTCCTCAATAACATTCTTAAAGTTGAACAATTCTTGTAAAATGCGCTGGTCCATCATTCGCTGAGTTACCAGGTCTTTGTAGAAGTCAATCATCTGCCGGGCAATTTGGTCAAGCATTTGTACATACCGCTCTCTGCATGGGAAAGAAGGAAAACAAGACATCATGCAGAAGAAAAGGAAAACTGAGGGAAAATATGTGAGGGAGAAAGTAATGTTAGAGAAAGACACAAAGAGAGAAAAAGAAAGGGATCCAGGCTGTGTGTTCCTATCATACACATACAAGTGAATGAATTATGAAAAGTTTTAACCAGAGTCATAATTATTTGGAATATCTGAGGTGTAAAATAAAATAAGGACTTTTTTTCCTTCTAAATTATAAACTCTATGAGGATAAGAACCATGTTTTACGTATTTACATACCCAATTTATAACATCTAACAGAGTGCCCTGAATATAGTGGAATTTTAAAAAATATATATTTTTATTGATTTCAGAGAGAGAGAGAGAGAGGGAAACATCAATGATGAGAGAGTCATTGATCGGCTGCTCCTGCACGCCCCTGACTGGGGATCGAGCCCACACCCTGGGTACATGCCCTGATTGGGAATCGAACCGCTATCTCTTGGATCCTAGGTAGATGTTCAACCGCTGAGCCATGTCCAGCTGGGCAGGATTTTTATAAATGGTTGAATTCATGAATAAAACCACTTTTCTCAAACTGACCAAAATGTACCCAGTGTTTAAAAATAAACAAAGGCCTAAATACAAAAGAGTCATTTCTTTTGTTTCTGAATAAAACCAAACCAAATATTTGGAAATGATCACAGATGATAAATTACAGACACTGTAACTGAACACTCTTCATTTATATTAAAAGTGGTCGCGGAATTATATCCTAACCCTAAGACTCCAGGATTATAATATATTTGAGTTGGAATGGACAGTTAATCTCTTACCCACGGACAGAAAGAATTATTCAGCCCTTATTTAAACACTTAAAGTGAAAGAGAGTTTATCAGCTCAATATGCAGGTCATACATCAAGAAATATCAACTTTAAAAACTCCTTCTTGCCCAGCAGGGCGTGGCTCAGTGGTTGAGTGTCGACCTAGGATCCAGGCGATAGGGGTTCGATTCCCGGTCAGGGAACAAGCCCTGGTTGTGGGCTCAATCCCCAGTCAGGAGCATGCAGGAGGCAGCTGATCAATAACTCTCTCATCATTGATGTTTCTATTTCTCTCTCTCCTTTCCTCTCTCTGAAATCAATAAAGTTATATATTTTTTAAAAATAATAAATAAATAAAAACACCTTCTTTAGGACTTCCCCTCCTAACAACATAGGGACAAAATACTCTGCAGGGCCTTCTCATTACAGTACAACTATATGCTACAGCATACTTTCTGAAGCATTAATGGACTCGCAGGAAGAAAAAAATGTCTTTAGGGGTGAAAAACAAAAACAACAAACAAAATACAATAAACTAAGGATGGAATAGGAGGTGGTAAGCAGTATTCATTAGGCAAACCCAAAGTAAGGGTTGCCCCAGTAAAAATACCAACATTGGGTCCCAGAAACTAAGTCTTCGGCCATCTTTAAAGTAGGAGACCTGAGTGTAGAACTACTGCATCGATCCAGGATTCTGGAAGGGAGAAAATGCAAATCCTCCCTTCGGGAGCATCCATGATTTATATCCTGAGGATTTAATGATTAAGATTAGACAAATACTAGTCACATAAGCAAAGATTACAAAATACTTGTATAAATAAATCATTATGAATGAGACTCAGAAGAAACGAAAAACAGTAGATTTACATATTAATGGTCTTCATATATTAGAATGATCAGATTTAGAATATAAAACTATGCATGAAATGTTTGAGAAACAAAAGATGAAATCTAAAAATGAATAAGTAATAAAAAAACTTATTAAATATGATGAGACAGACATGAAAACAAACCAATAGAACTCCTAGGGGAAAGATATAATTATTGAATGGTAAACCCAACAGATGGGTTATAGCAGAATAGATACAGCTAAAGAGGGTAGTAATGTCCTGGAAAAAAATTATCCAGGATGCAGCACAGGGACAAGGAAATGGAATTATGAAAAGGAGATTAAGAGACAAAGAGCAAAGATTGAGAATGTCTAATATAAATCTAATCAGGGTTCCAGAAAGAGAAAACAGACTGGAGAACAGACATTCATCAAAGAGATCATCACTGGAATACTCCAGTAACAGCTCTCACCTGATTTTGGAGAGTAGTTCTCCTCTATCTGCACAGTCCACACTGACTTGTCGAATAAGCTCATGAAATACTGTATTGTAAATGGTCTGTTCCTTCTTCAACATATGTAGTAGTTTGTGCATCTGGCAGAAGATAAGTTCATTAGCATTTATTATGGTCTTGTTAGTAAAAATCATTTTAGAAGTTAATCACCCAGAATGTGGATCAAGTTTTGGAGACAACTTCATTAGTTTATTTCACTCACAATTTCTGTTATAAATATATATACAAAAATTATATCTTATTTTTAAAAATCTGTCTAATCATTGTACCTCTTTAGATGATGCACCAAGAAGGTCACAATAGCATTTTTATGTTATTCCTGCCAAAATACAAAAACTGAATCTAATTATGACTACACATCAGGCAAACCAAAGCTGAGGAACAATCTACAGAATAACTGGCCTGTGTTCTCCCAAGTATCAAGGTGAAGAAACACAAAGAAGTCTTTCAGATTATAGTTGTCTAAAGAAAAGTGACAAATAAAAGCACCATGTGATCCTGGGATCCTGAAAGAGAGGGGAAAATATCGATAAAGGTCACTATAGGGAGAATTGATAACTTTCAAATTTGAATTTGGACTATCACATCAATGTTAAATGTTCTGATTTTGTCCTGGCTGGTTTGGCTCAGTGGTTAGAGCGTTGGCCCATGGACTGAAGGGTCCCAGGTGTGATTCCTGCCAAGGGCACGCACCTCGGGTGCAGGTTAGACCCCTGACCCTGGCAGGGGTGCCTGCGGGAGGCAGCCAATCGATGTGTCTCTCTCACATCAATGTTTGTGGGGGTTTTCTCTCTCTCCCTTCCATTCTCTCTGAAAAGCAATGGAAAAAATATCCTCGGGTGAGAATTAAAACAAAAAAAATGTCCTGGTTTTGAAAACTGTACTATGGGTATGCGAGAGAATGTCCTCATGCAGAAGGAGTGCAGCCTGCAATGAGTTTGGTGATAAAGAGGCATGATGACTTCAGCTTACTCTAAAATGGTTCAGAAAAAACTCTACTTATAGAGATACGCAGAGAAGGAGAGGGAATGATAAAACAAATAAGGCGCAATGTAAACAGCTGGTGAATGTGGGTAAAGGTTACACAAGAGTGTCTTATATTGAACTATGTATATGTTTCCAATTCTATAAAAATTTACAAAACAAAAAAGAAATAGCCTTCATAAAAAAAATCTATGTAAGACTGAAAAAGCCCTCTCATTAAGCACAGAATAAAAATTACAAGTCATGGTGAGAAAGCACAACTTAATTGGCAGCGTTTTTTATTGGAATGTAAAATAATAAGGGTCTTGTAATCTATAGTGCCCAATATTCAATGAAATACAGTAATAATAATACAGTTAACCCTGGAACAATGCAGGGGTTAGGAGCATGAACCCTCACGTAGTCAAAAATCCATATGCAACTTTTGACTCCCCCAAAATATAACTACTAATATTCTACTACTGACTGGAAGCCTTGCCAATAACATAAACAGTCGATTGACACATATTTTGTATGTTTTATGTATTATATACTGCATTCTTACAATAAAGTAAGAAAAAAATATTATAAAGGAAATCATAAGGAAGAGAAAATACATTTACAGTACTTACTGAAAAAAAATCCACATATAAATGGAAAGCATATAATTCAAACCCGTGTTGCTCAAGGGTCAACTGTACTAACAATTAAGTATACAAGGTTTACCACATGCCAAGCGCTGTTCTCAGCCCTTTACATTCATTATGTCATTAATCTCCACAACAACCCTATGAGGTAAATATTATCATCTCTAATTTACCGATGAGGAAATTGAGGCACAAATACATTAAATGACTTGCCCAGGGTCACTGACTAATAAATGGCAGGACCAGGATCCAACCCAAGCATTCTACCATCCAGAGTGTATGCCTGTAACCACTAACTAGGTTACACTGATCTTTACATTTACCTGGGTTGGCCCTGTATACTCCTGATTTTCCACACCAGCCCTCTCTAGCATAGTATCCATCACATCATTCAGCTGGATCACTTCTACTCTTTTATTAGGTTTCCTGAAAGATTAAGGTGGCAGTCTTAGTAATTCATGTTACAACAGGCCATCCTCAAATCACAAAAAGAATATTAATACATATAAAGAAAATGCATATGCTATGGAATATTAATGGTATCTTAAAGCATTAGACCTGTAAGTATTGATCTAATGGGATATTAATAATACAGTGTTTTTTTAAAAAAAGAAAAAATGCAAATAATATGATCCTCTCTTTCATAAAAGAAAGTAATACTCCTTCCCACCAAAGTTCTATTCACCTATTGTTTATAAGTGTAAGAACATAGAAAAAATATAGAGAGATAAACACCAAGCTATTAATATTAGTTACTTCACAATGTAAGAGAGGAAAAGGAAAGAAGAAGAAGAAACAAAGACTGTAGTGAAATGGAGAAATACGGTGGGTTAAATGCAGCACATGAAAGTATTTTACATACGATCCAGCAATCCCACTTCTGAGTATTCATCCAAAAGAATGAAAATCAGGATCTCAAAGAGATTATTAGCACCCCCATATTTACTGCAACACTAGTCACAATATATGGAAACAGATGTCCATCGATGAATGAATGGATAGAGAAAATGTGGTTCATACAGATAATGGAATATTATTCAGCCTTAAAAAAGAAGGAAATTCTGCCACATACAATAACATGTATGAACCTGGAGGATATCACCCAAAGTGAAATAAGCCAGTTACAGAAGGACAATACTGCAGGATTCCACTTACATGAAGCATCTAAAATAGTCAAACTCATAGAATCAGAGAGTGGAATTGTGGTTTCCAGGGATTGGTGGGAGAGGGAAATGGGAAATTGCTAATCAACAGACATAAGGTTTCAGTTATGCAAGGTAAGGAAGTTCTACAGATGTTCTGTACAACACTGTACCTATAGTTAACACTGTACTGCACACTTAAACATTTGTTAAGAAAGTCAATCTCATATTGTGTTCTTACCACAATAAAATTTAAAAATAATGAAAAGAATCTTAAAACTATTCTAAAAAGCATTTTATAGTATTTAAATATTATAAGTATGTAAAAATTGAATATGCAATTGGACAAATGAAAACACTGATTAGGTGACAGAATTGTGGGCAATTATTGTCTTGGGTTTCTGCTGTCATTTTAATATTTTTATGTGATAAAGCATCAAGAGAAAGTAATATATATGTATATAGCTATCCTTTCTATGAAACACTTTCAAAAATAAACTGTACTTACATGGATGGGAAGAGCAGTAGCCTGTTTTCACTATCTTTGAGGAGAGTCGTGTATTTGCTGCAATAAATAAGACAGGTAAATGTTACTGTAAGAAAACTATCTGGCCTGTTTATCACATATCACAACATGATCAACTTAAGACCTCCTGGAACTGAGATCTTGGAGGTAATCAGAAAGGCCCACCATTTTGCACACATCATGCCTAAATACTCTCAGACATCACCAGATACAGGTGTAATGATATTTATCATATTTGGAACTTAGTTTAGTAAAGAGCTTTAATCACGTTCCTTAATATGTCACAATATGAAAAATTCCTATATTCATTTGAAAACTGCCTTTTCAAAGGTAGAAGAATTTTCTAAGAACACTGAAGTAAACAAAGTTAAGTGACTAACCAGGTATAGCATTAATAAGAAGCAAAGATGAAACTAGAACCCATTTTTCCTGACTCCCAGCCTTATCTGTCCTCTGGGAGTGCTTGTTTAGAGCTAAATGAGTATCACGATGAGAATGACATGGTAATCCTTTAAATTCGTTATTTATACATCTTTTTTCTTCCCCTTTGGTTCTTCCCCCTACTGAAGCACAACTGGTCAGTAAGGTCCATTTTCAGAATTTTTAGATCAGTGAAAAATCTCCAGGGAATATAAAGACTCAGTTTCAAAAATGAGTACAGTGGTACCTCAGGTTTCTAATGTGATCTGTTCCGGAAGCCCGTTCGAGTTCTGAAACATTGGAAAATCAAGGGATCCACAGCCGACAGTGAGGCCTCAGGATCTAGCCCTCAGCGGAAGCCGTGGGGCATGTTTGACTCCCGAGGCGTGTTCGGAAACCAAAGCATTCCCTTCTGGGTTTATGGCATTCGTAAACTGAAATGTTCGCCAATGGAGACATTCAAAAAGCGAGGTACCACAGTATGTGAGGACTAGAAGCAATGATATCCCAGGGGCAATGAGCACACTCAGCACCCAGGTCTTGTTTTCTAAATATCATTCTCCACTAAAAGGAATCAGTACTCCCTGGAGAAGAGACTCAGAGCTCATTCCAGAGCTGGAGCTGGGAAATACAAGATAAACCTAGAAATCTTACTGAGCCAGAAAACAAAAGAACATTAAAGAATTATGGGAATAATTGTGTGCCTAAAGAACACAAGAGCTAGCTCAAAGAAGCTGGCATTGGCCAAATCTGAAAATTTTTGAACATCAAAATAATCATAGTAAAGAATTATAACCCACTGGAAACAAAAAGAAATCCATGAGTCCATATGGTAAATGCGAACTAATAAATATAGAAGAAATGATGGAGTTAAAAAGTCATCAAAAAGGTCTATAACTAGTGGGTTGCTAAGAAATATAAACTAAAGTATTTTTGGTAAAGGGTCATGATGTCTCCACCTTACTCTTGAATGGTGTGTGTGTGTGTGTGTGTGTGTGTGTGTGTGTGTGTGTGTGTGTGTGTATTAAAGCAAATGAAGCATTCAGTGAGTCAGGACAGAGGGTATAGGGAGTTCCTTGTCCTATTTCTGTGATTTTGAAATTACGTAAATATTAAAAGTTACCCCCCCAAATCAGTTCTATTTAGTTCCTTGGCAAAATGTTGTCCTGAAACCCATCATCACAAGGCAACGCCATACCACATATGTACTGGGTGAGGTGAAAAGAGCGAGAGCTTCTGGATATTTTATTATAAAATCCCAGTTCGGATTCTGTCTTTGTGCGTTTTTGTTGTTGTCACTGATAATCCTCACCAGAGGATATTTTTTCCATTGATTTTTTTTTTTAGAGAGGGAGGGAGGGAGGGGAGGAGAG